TTAATCAGTGCCTGCCATAAGTCTGCTAACACACTTCCAAACAACTAAATTAAAACATGAGGACAACAGGGTTTACAATAAGTATTCACAGGTCTAGGAGGAACAGTTTATTTCATTATAAACCTTTATTAGCTATTCCTTCTCTTAATGGCCATTTGACAGTAAATATAACTGGCCTAAGATGGAAATACATTTCCTCAGGCTCAAACACGCTTCTACTTCCTCTGCAAACTGAGGAGAGCCAGTGCCCCACCCCCAGTCAGTGCCCCACGCTCCATCATGTGCTCCTTCTACCAGGGCACCACTGAGAGGGTCATCACGGTGTGGTACAGAGCCTGTACTGCCTCCTGCAAAAGGACCCTGCAATGCATAGTGAAAACAGCCAGCAAGATCATCGGTGCCCCTCTGCCTTCCCTCATGGACATTTTTAACACCCGCCTCACCCGCAGAGCCATCAGCACCTCCCACCCCACACACTCCCACTTCAGACTCCTGCCTTCAGGGAGAAGGTATCGGAGTCTTCAGGCCCACTCCACCAGACTTACAAACAACTTCATTCACCAGGCTGTGAGAATGCTGAATGCTGTCCATTACCTCCCCCCCTCTGCCCCTGGACCGTAACCCACCACAGAACATAAAAAGACTACCTCTGATGTGTTGCACAAACCCAGTACATTCCCCCTTCTTGTTATATTAAATGTAAATCTGCTACTGACTGCTTTTCACTGTCGTATCTGCCGTTGTTGGTCGTTTGCACTGTTGTCCATGTGCATCTCATAAGCTATTATGGACCTCATCACCAATGCCCCTGGTGATCCTAATCATCTGACAATCTTATTATTTGTACTACTGTCACTGATTGTACATGGTTTGAGTCATAGCCTATTAGGTTGTACCGTTTAGTTTTATCCTAATTACTTTATTTTAGTTTTCTTATTCTATTTCATTCTATTTTTATTCTACTTTTATTCTATTTTAGTTTCTTAAATGGTATGGCATTCAATATTAGGCAAGAGGAAAAACGGTATTTAGGTTTTTCTGTATGTCCTGCACATATAGTGAATTGACAATAAAAATCTTTGATGTCCTTCTAAAAGGCCTCCTCCAGCGCAAAATTATTTCCATTAATTATTAACTAAAAAACTACATTGGCAAACATGTTTTGTTTGACCCATTGTTTTGAACGCTCAACAGGCATAGCTACAGTAAATATGGAGGGCAGGGATGATCTGACGATAAAAATCTTTGATGTCCTTCTAAAAGGCCTCCTCCAGCGCAAAATTATTTCCATTAATTATTAACTAAAAAAACTACATTGGCAAACATGTTTTGTTTGACCCATTGTTTTGAACGCTCAACAGGCATAGCTAAAGTAAATATGGGGGGCAGGGATGATCATATCATAATTATGCTGAAAGGATTATTGGTGTTATTCTGAAACAAGCTAACCTGGCATGGTAGAGCAGTGGATAGCTCTGTCAGCTCACAAGCAAATAGGCCCAGGGTTCAAGCCCTGGCCGACCCGGTACCTTTCTGTGTGGAATTTGCATGTTGTCTCTGTGCCTGTATGAGATCTCTCCAGGTACTATGGCTTCCTCCGACAATCCAAAGACATGCAGCTTAGAGGTTGACTGGTGACTCTAAATTGCCCGTGGGTGTGTGTCTGTCTCTAAGTGTCAGCCCTGTGATAGACTGGCAACCTGTCCAGGGTGTACCCCACCTCTTGCCCAATGTCAGCTGGGATTGGCTCCAGCCTCCTATGGCCCTCTTAAGGATAAGCGGTAGAGATAATAGATGGATGGATGAAACAAGGGAAACACGTTTCCCAACTGTGCATATGACAAATAAACACTTTGACCTTTGACAACCTCTGATCAGCATACTATACATCAGTCATTTCTGATGAACTTACTGTAGCTCCTCTTTGACACCTTCAGCTGTATTGGCTGCCACAATAAAAACTTCCTTCATCTCCTCTCTCAGCATGTTGCAGGAATATCCAATATTCTCTGCTGTCTCTGTTTGAAAACAGTAATAATTACACTAACAGTGGTGCAATTAAACTGGCAAACATCCAGTAACTCTGACTCCAAGTTCATTTACACATATGTTTTATGTTATGTTAAGATGTGTCATGTGAACTGGGTACCTTGGGTTCCTGATACTGAGATTAACAATAAGACAATATGAGAATATGCTTCATCTTATTACAGTATCACTTTACGTGTGATTTAAATGAGATCATACAATATAGACAGTATGTGCCACTAACCCTGTTTGTCCCCAGTCAGTACCCAGATTTTGATGCCAGCTTTAGCCAGTTGCTCTATGGTCTGTGGCACACCATCCTGCAGCTTGTCCTCCACTGCTGTTGCTCCCAGCAGCTAACAAAAAACGGCATATTATGGTACAAGGTGGTAACATCAAAAAACATTTCTGTATCATCCTTCAAGAAAAAAAGGCCCATCTAATATTTTCCAACAATACAGGATCAGGATTGTCTACACAAAAGATTCATTATTCAGTAGGAGGACTAACCAGCATGTCTTTCTCTATCTCTTCATAAAGTTCATCAAGCCTCTCCTCACGTCCTTCCATGGCAGTACTGGCCTCATGGTGGCGCTCTCCCCACTCATCCATGTAGTCCACATCCAAGTCCTTGTAGGCCAGAACCAGTGTGCGGAGGCCATCACCTGCATACTCCTATTTTGGTACAGTACAATCTTTGGTACAAACACAAATTCTGACAATTTTTTTGAATGTATATACTGTATCACAACAAATCCAACTGCCATCACTCACATGGAGATGTCTGGTGGTAACGTCCATTAGTGTTTTACAGGATGGATGCAGTCTTTCATAGATAATGGTGTCTGCTCCTTTGCAGTACAGAGTCAACTTGCCCTTAGGGCTACGCACTGGGAATCAGAGTGAAAGCCAGTCATCAATGTAAAATGCTTGAGATAGGTCATCCATAAAAATGTACCATCTGCTATGATCATTATAACAACAGATTATTTTAATTGAATGTCTTAGAAGGGACAGTATTAATTTGGTTTTGGTTTCATTTGGTTTCTTGAGGGTATATAAAGATGGACAATGAGACCACTCCTCCACCACAAGTCGATTACCCCCTGGTGGCTAGTTGTAGTATGGGCTATAAATCCTGCCCCTCTATGCAGATAGGACACATCAAACTAAAAATTCAAATCTAATACATTTTTCCCAAAAGGTGATTTCTGTCATTTTAGATTTTTTCACACTGATCTGTGTAGAAGTGGTCATTTTTCTGATAGGTTATTTGATGATATAAAAAGGGGTGCATTTCAGATGATGTGACAGCTTTGACTGATGGTCCACCCCTTGTCACTATGGTGCAGAGTCTAGTTGCAAAATGTGTCACAAAAGCAAGATGGCTTCCTCTGTATTAGCTTCACTTTTACAAAGTGGCAGGAAGTGGTGACATGTCATCCATTTTTATATACAATGTATGGCTGTTACTGAGCAACAGACACAGAATCTAAGTTGTCAAAATGTCTTTGAATGGACCAACAGTAACTGTATTACCAGTTATACCTGGGATTAAAGGTAAATTTGTTAAGTGTGACGGATGATGGATTAAAACAAAGTATTCAAGCATTATTGGAAACACTTTAAACCACAAACAGTGGTCTCTCACCTATGACTGACATCCTCTTGCGGACATTATTGAAGTCAAGAACAGCCAGAAGTTCATAGGTGACTTGTATGCCCATCTCCATTACTGTGATGGTCTCAGGTGTGCGTGAACGGAACACAAACCCAAAGTTTCTTGCTGCTGTCACCAGAGCTCCCTCATCAGGAGACTGAGCCTGATAGTAGAGCTCCCCTGCCAGGGAAAAAAGACGAGATGAGAGGGGGTGAATGAAAGAGAGGAGACTAAAACATGGAAAAATGGAAACACTCGTAATGATTCTGGGTGCACCACTGTCACCGTCTTCCAGAGACTTTGCTCAGTGGTTAATATACTGTACAGAGGAAATAAAAACATACTGTATTATTTTGAATAACCACACAGCCATGCTGTCTCATCAACAGGAGCAATCTACTGTACTCCTTTCTAAAGCCTTTGCAGCCACTTGCCATGTAGTGGGGGAAAAAAAAACCTACCTTTGCAGCCACTTGCCATGTAGTGGGGAAAAAAAAAAACATAATGGAGTACACCTACCCTCTTTCTTTTCTTCAGGCATGACAGTGTGGCATAGAGCCAGCAAGCGAAAGAAGGCATGAGCCTCTGGGTTTCCCTCCCTCACAGTCTCCATCAGACTGTGGTCGTGAAAAATGAACTTTGGATCAGCTAGCTGGTTCCAGGAGAAGTCCACTCTCTCTGTCTTCTGCACAGAGTTGGAGCACTTTACACAAAATTTACAAACATACACTGTACAGGCATGAATCAGTTTCCTCCTCTCACCTCTGTTATTTCTACCCTTTGTCCAGAAAAGTCAAATAGCTCCCCTGAATAACAGAAAAATCCACTTTAAAGTCAGTCATTCAGTCCATGTTAACGTGTCCTTTCAACTCTGTGGTTTTTATCTAAGCAGAGCTGCTCACCGTAAACTTTCCCATTGATGGAGCACTTATTGAAAGTCATGATGTTCTGCGTCAGGGTGCCGGTCTTGTCGCTGAAGATGTATTTGATCTGTCCGAGCTCCTCATTGAGCGTGGTGGTCCTTGCCTGGGCAGGAGTGTCACTTTTGGGGTAATACATCTTCCTGTCCCAGTCTATGTAGAAGCTATTCCCCAGGCGGATTATTTCCACACTGACACCAAAGCACATAGGGGTAAGATCAAAATGTGAGACATGAAGACACAGAGAATGTTTGATCTCAAAATAACTTTGGCTACTTCTGATTGCGTTATCTTTCTGTGCTCGAACATACCTGACGTAGAGAGAAATGGGCACCACCGTGTTGAGGATGATGACGTAGGACCAGAAGGAGAGGAAGGATGAGAGAGCAGCATCAATCCCTGGTTCACGAGGTAGGAATGCTGTGAACGCTGAGCCCTCCCTCCCCTCCCAGACAGCATTTCCAATGGCCAGAATGGAACACATAGAAGCCAGGAATCCAAAGATCTGACAGATTAAAGATATAACACATCTCAATAATGAGAGTAGTGTAGGATTTATTCATATGTCTTTACAGCAGACAGCGATGAATTGAAAGTAACAATGATATAGTGCAATTATGTTGTGAATGTGCATGGGTGGTGAACTCACACACAGCACCAGGACGTTCATCAGGTGATCGATGCTTGTCCGTTTGAATGTTGTCTTTCCACTGTTCTGCATCAGCTTGGTGTCAGGGCCTGGAGTCATGCAGACAGGGGCACATTTTCAAAGACTGATGTGAAGGAGGAATCTGCTTAATATCTCATTAAAATCCAAAGTTTGGTGTAAATGTGTGTTAACTACATATAAAGTAGTATCATGATTTACTTTCTAAGTACATATTTTGTCACTTGAGCTTATATTTCAGTCAGTGACCTCCTAACATATGGGGGTACATATGGGCCTGGTTAAATTGGTTAAATTACAGCTCATAGCGAATTTTTAAGCACTGCTTCATTACCCTTTAATAAAACTTACCTTTCTGTCCTTTTGAAAATGTTAATAAACTAGAATTGCTCTCAAAATCTCTCATTTTGTTTCTTTGGTTTGGTTTAATAGTTTCCTTCACTCATCGTAATTGGCTATTCCTTATCAAAGGTCTAAAGTTAATATATAAAATGTTAATTGAATCCAAGATGGTCATTTGACAAAGAGGCAATACAATTACCAGTCAAAGATTAGCAGCCTGAAGCTAGTAGTTAATGATTCTGCTCGTCATTATCCCTGTAAAATTGAGGCGGTGACCCAAACTTTGTTTTGTTTCATAATAAAAAAAAATAATAATAAAAGTGTAACTGAGTAGACTTCAGTTAAATGTCTGTGCTTTCAGTAAATAATTTTGATCTTGTATCTCAAAATTTCAACTTTTTATCATTATTTTGACACAGTCAAATTTGATTTTATCTCACAATTTTTTACTTAGTTCTGAAAATGTAACTTACTTGTGGAAAATTTATTGTACTAACAGCTACTGTAGTGTATTTACCTCCGAAAATGACCAGACCGAAGCACCACTCAGTGTTCCTCAGAGTGCATCCTCTTAGCAGCACCTTGTCATTGTCCAAAGCGTAGGTCTGTCCGTTCACAGTCAGGGTCCCTTTGAACTTGTCTAGACGGTTGTTGGGAGGCTCACATCGTACTTCACCTGAGAGACACAGCAATACAACCAATGAAAGAGCTCACAAGTGGTGTTGAAAACATGGGCACTTGCATGCTACATATCATGTAAAAATCCAGGTAATGGTGAATACAGTTCCTCAAAGTAATTCCAGTATCCTGAGATCAGAGCAAGGGAGTATAATTTTTTTTTAGTATAGTACTGCGTGTGTGTGTGTGTGTGTTTAATGTTGCTTCTTTCAGCATCTCACCCCTGAAACCAGCCAGCACATCAATGCTGTCTCCCATCTCTCCAGTTACAGTCAGAGCCTGCTTCACCTTCAGATTGGTTTCACTGGGGAAGACCATGAGGACATGACAAGGATTCGACTGAAGGGAAATCTGAACCAGTGTGAGACGATCATGTGTAACACACAGACACACACAGTACTGCACACTCACCCATCCAATTCAGCTGTTTCTATGTAGACCAGGTTAAGAGGCTCACTGCTAGACAGCAACAGGAGGTCAGCCTACAAGATGAAAGAATTAAACACAGAAGAGACAGCTGAGGGAATAGAAGACATTTAAGATAGATCAATTTTACCATCACTTGTGAGAACCCTGTCCTGTACTCAGCGTAGTTGTTAGCACTGAAAGCTTCAAATAAAGAGCAGCAATATACTATAGCATGTACATACAGTTTACATGTCCTTGCATTTAAAAAAGCTTTTTAAATCTTTACTATAGTACTGCCTGTACTTACAGTGACAAACTGATTATTCTCCAGTTTGATCATATCTCCAACCTGAACATTCATCCATTTTTCATTTCTCAGTCTACCGGAACAAAAAGTAAACATGATGAAGTCACAACACAACAATTCACACAAAACACAACCTTTTTAACAACTCAAAGCTGGTTAACATCTGTGCATTTGTACTTTTAGCAAGCATAATTTAAAAATATAAGATATAAAATGAGAAAACTGTATCTTAAATGACTCACTCTTCATCGATGAGGACATCCACCCTGCGGTTATTCACTTGATTGTCACTTTTATGTCTGTTCTACTCAGTTGACACAAGAAAAACATTATTTATAATGGTTTTAGTTCCCTATTGTGGGACCCCTCTTTATTCATAGAATTTTTTAAAAATTTTATTTTACCCTAATAGATTGTTTTAATTACAACTTACTATATCATCACTGGCATCTTTGACTGCTGTTATAGCCAGCACCAGCATCAAAGGGATGGCTGTGGTGAACCAGGCGAGAGAGGAGATTTGTGGGATTAGCTGTCAACAGAACACACGGGACAAAACACTAGTCAGCATAAATAACAACATGATCCTTGATATGTGGATCAACTTGTTCAATTTGTGTAAAAATTATAAGACAGTAAAGTTTTTAAAAAGGTATTCTACAACATGGAGCCTCAGAATGCCACACAGCCTGCGTGCACATGCATAGTAGCATTAGAAAAGAGAAAAAAAAATCTACCTGAAGTAGGAAGAGGACGAGGAAATAGGCATTGGCGAGCCTCCTGAACTGCTCAAAGAGGTTGAGTGGCAGGAATGTAAAAACATTGTATTTAGAGGTCTTGATGGCGTTGTTCTGAAGTAGAGGAAAACGACAGATGGCAGTTACAGTGCTATGCTGTCTAGTATGAATCAACAGGACTTGCTGCATAACATTTGAGTTTTTTTTTTTTTTGGAAATTCACACAGGAAATCCCCAATTTGAACTATTTT